GAGGTCAGATATTTGCTGATCTTTAAACTTTAAAATCACCACATTCCCACAGACCAATCAGATACAGGATATGAGGAATTATTCACCAGGTGGCCTTTATGACAGGAGAGGGGTTTGGGCTCCAGCTGCTGACAAAGGAATCTAAATACACTGACTGAAGGTGGTGTTAGGAAGCTGCTGCCTTGTCCACAGAATCGTTTTACTATTATCAAATGAATTATTTTCATTTGTCATCAAAATCATTTAGAAAGGAGCCTGAGGGGCACACAGGCAATATAAATCAGATAAAACTGACTTCAATGCACACCAGGACATTTGGTGTAGTCACTGTTCACACAGGATACTGAGGTGGACAACTTCAGCATACCTGATAACCTGTGGAGTAACCACGGTACATTTCACCCTTGATTAAAAGCAAATATAACTCTGGATTATTAAGCATAAGCAGTTAGTTTCTTTATTATAAGAGTAACTGCTGAATGTAGAGGGATTTATTTATTTATTTATTTTTATATCGGCCGATATCCAAATTTATTGTGTTTTTTTAATCAATAAAACGGTTTTTTAATATCTTGCTGCATTTCATGCAGTTCATACTCAAGTTTAAAAACAAACAAACACTAAGGCTATTCTGTTATACTTGTATGCAAAAAATACACTGCACCCAAAATATTTCATAGTTCACAACACTGATCAACCTAATAAACTTAAACCTACACCATCCTCCCTATTCTGGTATTCAGTAAGCAACTTAACTAATAGGGCTCTAAAACTCCCAGCAAAAAAATAAAAATAAAAATAATAAACATAGGGAACCCCCCCACCCTCCACCACCACAGGGGAAGAACTGCACTGATCAGATGAAACCTTAAGTTTTTATTTCACAGTTTATCATTATAAAAATATAAAATGTAAAAATATCAGATTTGGCCTCATCTATTGTCCCTGTGCAGATCCAACCAATAAGCAAAGAGAAACATTAACGCTTATCTGCACTCATGTCTCATATCAGCGTCGCCCACGCACACTGAGCTACTGTAGCATAGCTACTGTGGTTAGTTAGTGTCTCTTGCTAGAAACTTCCACCTGAAAGCCCGCAGTCTGTTGGTCCTCAGCCTCTCAGACATCGTTCACACTCTCACAGGTAAAGTCAAACCTCGTTAGGTCGCTGTTTTCCGGGAATGAGTGAATTTATGGCGCCGTGCTGTGACTGAGTGCAGGTTAAAGAGGTAAACGGAGCTCAGAGAGTTTCTTACCGCTCAGGAGGAGAAACAGCAACATCTTCATCCTCCTTTATAAACCACAGCAGCCACAAAGTCCGGTAACCCTGGAAGAAGCAGAGCT